GTATTATTTAAATATTATAGAATGAGTAAAATGTATTTATACTAGTTAATATATATATTATATAATATTTAATACATAAAATAATTTATTTATTATTATAATTTAAATAAAGATAAACGAGCTGAACTTATGACGAGGAGCTCGAGTTCGGCTCATTTAATAAAACGAGCCGAAATATTCGAGTTCAGTCTCGAGCTCGGCTTCGTTTATTATTCGAGTTCGAGTTCGAGCTTGGCTCGTTTAACAAAACGAACTGAGCCGAGCCGCAGCTTTGTTCATGAAATAGCTTGGGTTCATTGGCTAGCCTGTTGAATTTCCCATCTTTACCTCACCTACTCCATACACACTCCAACTTTCACTCTCTCCACTTCACCACGTATCACTACCACTTCACCAACCCACTTATCACCTCCACTAAACCTACTACCACATTTTCTTCTATATATTATGATTGTATAGAATTTGTAATGTTATTAATCTTGGTGAATACATCAATCAATCAATATCTAATTCAAAGTAATCATCCAAATTTTACATGGTATCAGAGCAATATGTTAGCTTTAGGTGATCTTCACCTTCCGGCGGGCGGCAACCTTGCGCTTCACCGCCCGCCGGACCCACACATACCTCCTCTCCTTATCACCTTTGGTCTCTGCAACCTCACTCTGTTAAGATCATCACCTCCATCGGACGTCGATCCCAAGGTCGATTTAAAGACTATCAATTACACAGAACCAACTCATTTAGATTAGTAATAGTTGCCACCAAATACGTACATCAAGCAGGAAACAATTGGCTGGAGGCAAACCTGTGCGCGCATATTTTCAAGTACTTGTTTTACCTTGAACTGGGTAATTTAGAACTGGTGTGTGTGTATCCTGTTGTTCGTGGTCTTGCCTACACGAAATTGTTCACGGAGCGAACAATCCGCGAAGGCTCAAAGACATCAATCAGAGAAAGGGCTTGAAGTATCTGCACAGGCGGTGGGCGACTCCCACGGAATAACATACACGAGCACTGATCTAATCTTTAGCGTAATCAGTGAAAGCTCGAACGTGCTACCATGGATGCGCATCAGAACTCTGCTACAAGGCAAGGCAAGTCCAGGCAACGCAGATACCGCAGAGCTCGGTTTCCTCTTCCTCATATTCTCTCAACAAACCCTAGACCGCTTATTATGTCACAAATAACACATAACTCATACTATGATCTATATATATGGGCTTACTCTGTTGTCTGCCAATCGTGTGTGCGTCGGTCGTGTCATTACATATCATCTATCTCTTATTCTCTGTTCTCTCGGTTGCTTCGTTCAACCACCGGGAGTCTACCTCATCAAGTGAATCTCTGTCCTCGATATAAACAGGCGTGCAATAGTGATCATCGAAGAGTGAACCAGTTGAATGAGAAAGCCAGTGCGTGTATTCCGATACTGATGAAATCTTGATTGAGACATACTCACTACCAAAGTTCTTGGCATCCAAGCGTCAGGATGAGTGCATTTAAAAAGAATACAATACCCGAGTTGAAAAATTTTCTCTGTGCAACAGCAAATCCTTCTCTTTCTACATGGAAAAATTGCTTAGGTAGTGGAGTCTTCTCATACTCTCTCTCTCTCTATCCCAGAGTATTTTCCACGTAAACTATAGCGTATGCAACGAGAAAAACACCGCCCAAATTCTTTTTTTTTTATTAAAAGCTTATTTGGTTGCAATTGTTCCCCTACTTTTTATTATACTATTATTTTTACGTAACTCGTCATTATCAGTCCACGTTTTTGAACCACCTCCAGCACACCCTACAATCTCTTTTTTAAATATTTTCAGCCTTTTCCTTTCTTTTTTTAAAATATCAAAAATACAATGCGATAATATAATATAATATTCTGATTCTTTTCAACCCTATATTAACTTTTCTATTTCTTTCTTTTTTTTTAAGTTTCCTTCTTGTACATTTTTGTATTGTTTTATTTATTCGGTTTATTTATTTATTAATATTTTTTTTGTGATCCGACAAAAAAAATATCAAAAAATAAAAAAAAAAAAAGAAGAAAAAAAAAAGAGGAAGAAGAGAACGATACTGCACACATTCTAGTATTTAACGATTATGTCTGTCGAGGCGATCACCCGATCTACACGCATTTAACCACATCTCCAGAAACCACCATACAAAAAACGAAAAAAAAAAAAAAAAAACGAAAAAAAAAAAAAAACAATCATCTCCACCGGAGTGAAGTATTTTATTTCCCTTCTCTACTCTAGCTAAGCAAGGTCCTCTTCTTCTTTTTCTTGAGTGCATGGTTAATGCGAATGAGGTCGTGCAGTGAGGAAACACAGTTCGTCCAAAAGAATGCCTGGTGACTCCGTGTTTCCTTGTTCACCGAGCACTTCACTCCCCCATACTCCTCCAACTGCAGCATATTGGCGGCCCTCCAAATGCGGAAAACATCACAGTTATGGTCTCCCATGCCCTTTTTCCGCTTTTCCCTTTTTTTTCTCCTTAGCTCTTTCTGCCCTTAGCACGCTCCTATCTCTGCTCGGCGCATCCTTATACATGCGTAATGGGACGCAGAGCGCCAGCTGGGAGTGTTTAAATGCTTGCACCTACATTCTCTGCTCGGCGCCTACTCTGCAGATGCCGGTTTGACAATTTTGTGACCGCCGTCCAATGCTTTCCACACATTGCCTCAAAGCTATATTGCTGGACATCTTGAGGCCGATCCAATAGATTAATCCAAGTTCAGTTAGCATCGCCATTTTTTGCTCCACGACCGCATCGGAAAGTTTCATGGATGCAAAACCAAGAGCGTGTTTTGGTGAGGCTTCACTGGCCACCGGCACCAGTTATTTCTCTTGGTGGGCTCGTTCCGTTCTGGAAAGAGCTGTGAGCAGGTTTGTGGGGGTAGCTGGAACGGGAAGAAGAGGCCATGTTTTTGGGTTGCTAAGTGTTTCAGCGAAATAAGCATTTCAGACTGGTAATGTTGCCGGGCAAGGGTTGGCTGACATTGAATGGCATTATATAATAAATAATATTTTTTTTTAAATAATATAAATAATATTAAAAAAAAAAATTATCGAGCCAAGCCAAGCCGAGCCGAGCCGAGCCGAGAAAATTAGAGAGATTGTGAGGGTTGCACATGAATTATATTGCACATGAATTACACGAGGACGGTGAACCACATCTACATGCTCTCGTCCAATTTTCATACCGTTTTCAGACACAGGATGAACGGTTCTTCGACGTTACTAACGATCGCACTAATTGCCATTTCCATCCAAATATACAAGGGGCCAACAACCATCAAACTGTGCTGGAATACATCTCTAAATACGGGGACTACATGGAATGGGGTGAATTCCGTGAGAGGGGTCGCTGTGCTAACAAGGACAACAAAGAAAATGTATATCACGAAACTCTTGCAGCCGGAAGTAAAGAAGAATCACTGGCACTGGTAAGAAATGTCGATCCAAAATGTTTCTGGCTAAATTATGACAAGTTGTCATCCAATTACGACAGGATTTCATTTACTCCACTATTGTCATATGTTCATCAATTTACAGATACAGTATGGATCGTTTCAACAGCCATACAGCAATGGGTAGCAGAAAATATAAGAGACGAAGCCCAAAGACCACACAGGCCCAAGAGCATTATAATTGAAGGCCCATCTAGAATTGGAAAAACATGTTGGGGCCCAGTCTTTGGGGCCACATAATTATTATTCCGGCCACATCGATTTGAGGGACCACAATGACGAGGCTTTTTGCAACATAATCGATGATGTGGCCCTACAATATTTGAAACATTGGCGGGAATTTATTGGAGCGCAACAGAATTTTTTTTCAAATTGTAAATATGCCCGCCCAAAGAAGATAAAAGGCGGGATTCCAAGTATTATATTATGCAACCCCAGAGCCGATTCTAGTTACAAAGAATTTTTGGAAAAACATGAACACGCCGGGCTCCAAGCGTGGGCGATCCGAAACGCAGAGTTTTACACACTCAGTCAGCCCCTCTTCGCCAAAACTGATCAAGAAGAGGCATCACAATGAGAAGAAGAAGGCTCAACAACGCATGAAGATATTCCACTTCCAATGCAGCTGTTCGTTATTCCACACGAACGGATGTATCGAACCACATCCACTGGAGAGAAAGGATGCTATCAGGGGTCTTCTATGACACTTTGAAGAACCCAATGTGGTTCAAAGCAGTAGACATGTCCATGCCGGGGAACCAAGGTGTATACAAGTTAGAATACCTGTTCAACTACAACCTCCGGAAAGCATTGGGAGTCTGGACATTCACCGCAATAATGTATACATGGCTGACATACAGTGGTCTCAAAAGCCTGACGCAGAATGTACTTACCCAGCTTATTGCACGCAGGATGATGAAGACATTGTTTTTCCAATTCTAGATGGGCCTTCAATTATAATGCTCTTGGGCCTGTGTGGTCTTTGGGCTTCGTCTCTTATATTTTCTAGAACCCATTGTTGTATGGCTGTTGGAACGATCCATACTATATCTGTAAATTGATGAACATACAGCAATGGTGGAGTAAATGAAATCCTATCGTAATTGGATGACAACTTGTCATAATATAGCCAGAAACATTTTGGATTGCCATTTCTTACCAGTGCCAGTGCTTCTTCTTTACTTCCGGCTGCAAGAGCTTCGTGATATACATTTTCTTTGTTGTCCTTGTTAGCGCAGCGACCCCTCTCACGGAATTCACCCCATTCCGTGTAGTTCCTGTATTTGGAGATGTATTCCAGCACAGCCTGATGGTTGTTAGCCCCTTGTATATTTGGATGGAAATGGCGATTAGTGCGATCGTGAGTAACGTCGAAGAACCGTTCATCCTGTGTCTGAAAACGGTATGAAAATTGGACGAGAGCATGTAGATGTGGTTTACCGTCCTCGTGTAATTCATGTGCAACCCTCACATAATTTGGTGGCCTGTTAGTGAACAACTCTCTAATTCACTATTTGATGTCTTGATTACACAACACTCATATAGGGCTGCAAACGAACCGAGCCGAGCTTTGCTGAGCTCGAGCTCGGCTCAGCTCGTTAAC